TCACACAATCAACTAATCTGGGCTCATAGGAGCTCACAGAGACTGAACTGACAACCAAAAAATCTGTGTGGGACTGACGTAGGCCCTCTGTATATATGTGACAGTTGTATAGCTTGGTCTTCTTGTGGGCCTCCTATTGGCAGAAGCAGGGGCTGTCCCTGACTCTTAGTGGCTTTTGGGACACTACTTGCCCAGCCTTAACACATGGGGAGATGCTAAGTCTGACTGCAACTTGATATGCCATGTGTTGTTGATACCCAAGAGAGACCTGCCCTTTCCTAAACAGAATGGAAGAGGACTGGATTGGGGGGTTGAAACAGAGGGGTTGGGGTGGGAGTAGGGCCTGGGAGGAGAGATGGGAAACTGTGACTGAGAGATAAAGTAAATAAATAAGGGAATGAATAAATTTATAGAAAAAGAAGGCACAAATCAAACACTGGTCACTAGAGGCTTAGCAATGAGGAGTTCATCAAAAATAGGTAGGATAAGTACCATTTATAAAGGAGGTCTAAGTTCCAGTGGGTCTTAAAATCATTTACTACTACTAGTACTACTACTACATGTGTTCCTGATGTGTGTGCACGTGCTACTGTGTGAATGTCAGACAATAAATTTGTGTAGTTGGTTCTCTCCTTCCATCTTTATATATTTTCAAAGGATCCAACTCAGATAGTCAGGCTAGCTATGCAAGAACCTTTGTGGCTGAACCATCTCTCTCAATCCCAAGCAGCAATATTTCACAGTACATTTTGAGTATCTGTAGTTTATAAGATGTTATGATGTAATAAAGTATGTAGGAAGGCAGGCCTGGTTTCACAGACCTGAAAACAGATAATCTGGAGGCAGAGAAAGAAGGATCACTTGTTAAAGAACTGCCTTGGCTTCATGATCAAAGCCATTCTTGACTTTGTGATGAGATCCTGAATAAGGAATGCAAACAGCTGGGATTAACACACTGGAGTAATGGTATTGGAGAAATACCTTGAGAGATTTGCCACTAGATTTGAAGGCAATAGGAAGAGAGAGCCACTGGGCCTGGCTTGGGATTTTGAAACTTGAGAGCCTGTCCTGAGAAACACACCTCCTCCAACAAAGCCACACCTTCTCCAACAAGGCCATGCCTAATCCAACAAGGCCACACCTGCAAATCCTTCCCAGACAGTTCCACCAACTGGGGACCAAGTATTCAAACATACTAGCCTATGGAGGCTGTTCCCATTCAACCCACCACATTCTACTCCATGATACTTACAAGCTTGTGCTCATATCAGAGTGCAAAATTTCTTAACTCCATTTTGAAAAGTTTCCATAGACTTTCACAGTCTCTACATAGTTTAAAAGTCCAAAGTCTCTTCTGAGACTCATAGTAATCTCTTAATTGCAACCCCCTGGAAAATCAGAAAGAAAATTATACTTCCAATATACAGTTGCAGAGAAAATACACTATAATTCCAAAAGAGAGGAACTACTGGACCAATGCAACACCAAAATTCTTCAGGACAAACTCCAAATCATGTAGCTCTGATGTCAAAGGGCTTAGATGCCTGCCGACTATAACATACCTCTCTCTCAGACTGGTTCTACACCCTGTCTGCAGTGACCCTTGGTGGATATCTCACAGCTCTGGAATCTTGGAATCTCTAACACCTTGGGGTCTTGAACACAACCCAGAATTCACTTTCAAAGCTTCATGCAATGGTCTCTCAGTGCCTTTATGCAGGGGCTGCTGCCACATGCCTGGTTTCATAACATTCCTTAACTGGAGAAAGACTCCTCAACCCCTTTACTCTTCATGACTCTGAAGTCAGTATCTTCTGGTTGATGCTGCCAAGTTTGGCTGCCTGCTCTGGATAGAACCTGGTGCCCACCTTGAATTACAATTCATGAGCTTTGATTTATTGATGCCTTTAGTTGATAGCTTAGCTGTTTTGCCCTGAGAACACCACTTTCTTTGTTACATCCTGCATCAAGCCTCCCACTATGTATTTTAGCACAAATTATACCTTTTTTGTTTTGCTATGCTTTCTCTTTTTCACTGTAGTTTTGCATAAAAGTGGTTGCTAATTGCCACACAACAGAAGCAATATTAGGCTGTCCTGAAGTCTCCCCTGTTAATGAAATTGGACCAAAACTCTTTAATTTAGCATCAAGCAGATTCTTAGGACAAGGGCAAAACCCCAGCCATATTCTTTGCCAAAATTATCACAAGAATGGTCTCTAGCTTAATTGCTAGTATTGAAACCTCTTGATCTCCTCTTAGTCTCTTAAGCCCTGCTTAGAGCATTCAGCAGCTTTCCTAGTCCAGCCTCCAAAAGTCTTTCAGATCCCACCAAAGCACAGCATGTCAAGGCCCATCACAGCAATATCCTACTCCCTGGTTGAGCTTCTGTCTTACTCTTAAATGGCTGTAATAAGACACCATGACCAAGACAACTTATAGAAGAAAGAGTTTGGGGGGGGTCACCGTTTCAGAAGGTGAGTCCTGACAATCATGGTGGGGAGCATGGCAGCAGGCAGGTAGACATGGTGTTGGAGCACTAGCTGGGAGCTTACATCTTGAGGCACAAACACAAGCCAGAGTGGGGTTAGGGAGAAAGCCAACTGGGAGAGGTGTGGGCTTTGAAACTTCAGAGCCTTCCCCCAATGACACACCTCTTCCAACAAGGCCACACCTCCAAATCCTTCCTCAACAGTCCTAACAGCTGGGAACCAAGGATGCAAATATATGAGTCTATAGGGACCATTCTCATTCAAACCACCGTACAGGGTCTCACTATAGAGCCGGGACTAGTTTGGAACTCTCAGTGTAGATCAGATTGTTCTTGATCTCATAAAGATCTGCCAGCTTCTACTTCCTTGTGCTGGGGGTAAAGGCATATGCCTCCACGTCCAGCTAAGTTTTCACTTTAGAATTTTATTTGTGTGTGTGTGTGTGTGTGTGTGTGTGTACAGCATGTGTATTCTGGGCACTGTGGAGGCCAGAAGAGGGCAATGGCTATCCTTCAGATGTAGTTACAGGTAGTTGTGATCTACTCTACATGAATGCAGGAAACTGGGAGAGGAGCCAGTGCTCTCAGCTCCTCTCGAATGATCTCTTCATCCTCTTAACCTTTTATTGAAACAAGAAATTATACATGTTTCTTGGAAAATGCTTAAATATCAATCCATGTACATGCATCATTAGGTGTGTCCTTGTGATTTTTCCCTTTGAGATACTGTGTGGCAATGATGTCAAGCTGATAGAAAACCCTTGGATACAGACTTCTGCTCCATGTGGAGTGTGTGTGTGTGTGTGTGTGTGTGTGTGTGTGTGTGTGTGTGTGTGTGGTTTGATCTGGTATAAAGAGGGTGAGATAACTGTCACAGGTAGAAAAATCTATCTGATGGTTTTCAGTGGTTAAGAAAAGGGATGTATGGTTCTGGTGGATTTGCTAAGCTGAGTGAATTGCAGTGCTGTCACTGGGTTAATTTAGAAAGTACTGGAGAGAAGGGGAAAGGGACAAGGTCTCCTGAGTAAACTGGAAGCACAGGGAGGGGGGAGGGAGGACAGGGAGGACGGGAGAAGGAGATGGGGGAGGAGAACATGAGGTATCAGGAAGGTCGAGTTGGGGGAAGGACAGCAAGGGAAGAGATACGTTGATAGAGGGAGCCATTATGGGGCTGACAAGAAACCTGGCACTAGGGAAATGTCCAGAGATCCACAAGGATGACCCCAACTAACAATCTAAGCAATAGTGGAGAGGCTACCTCAAATGCCCTTCCCTGATAATGAGATTGATAACTAATTTATCTACCATCATAGAGCCCTCATCCAGTAGCTGATGGAAACAGAAGCAGACATCCACAGCTAAACACTGAGCCAAACTCCTGGAATCCAGTTGTAGAGAGAGAGGAGTGATGAGCAAAGGGGTCAAGATCATGCTGGGGAAACCCACAGAAATAGCTGATCTGAACAAATGGAAGGTTATGGACCCCAGTCTGACAACTGGGGAACCAGCATAGGACTGAACCAGCCCATGCCCCCTGAATATGGGTGTCAGTTAGGAGGCCTGGGCAGTCTATGAGGCTTCTGGCAGTGGAATCAGTATTTATCCCTAGTGCACTAATGAGTTTTGGGAGCCCATTCACTATGGAGGGACACTCCGTCAAATATACTGGGGAGTGGCTAGACTTTGCCCCCAATGATGTGACAGACTTAGATGATTTCCTATGGGAGGCCTCACCCTTTCTGAGTAGTGGATGGATGGTAAGGGGGTGGGGGAGTGGGAGGATGGGAGGGAAAGGGAACTGGGATATATAAAATAAGATTGTGTTTAATTTAAATAAAAAATTAGAAAAATAATCAGAAGAAACACAAAGAGAATATGCAGTGAAAGTTTTAGTGGTGGTCCTAAGGTGCACAGACCATTTCCTTGGCTGAAGGAGTCTTAGTCATTCTGAGTAGGGCATTACTGACAGGATGGAAAGTCTAGAGAGCTTGAGGGGGCCAATGGAGGCATATATTATTAGAGAACCCTTCCTAACAGAAGCACTTACAGAGCACAATAAATAATTCACATGCTCACTGTGTACTATTATTCATCAGAATATTCCTAGAAAACAAGCTTTTGGATCTTTGGGGAGATAGCACATATAGAAATATTTTCAACTTTAATAGTTTCCTTAATACATAATTTCAATGTAATTAATTTATTACAGAGATCCCAGATTAGACTGATGAAGGACTGTGGAGGATTTGAAATGGTAAGCTTTTTCTTTAGATGAACAACTGGACAGTAGAGGGTAGAATTAAAGTCTAGACATATGGAAAGTGCACATAGCCATAGAAGTGTACATCTCAACAGGTCAGCAGCCCTAGCTAGCCAATGCCATGGAGAGCTACGATGACATGTTAGGTGGGTGTCTTCCCCCTTTGTGATGTACTTCTGCCCTAGAACCCTGGGACCCCTACATTCCATTCTTACATCACTTGCCCCACTCACTTTCCTGAGACCTTCATAGAGATGGACTGCTCCAGTTGGCTGCTCTTCTAGGGACAGCTGAATCAAGGCTTTTGGTCTCTTTCTAGAGAAATATTTCCTCATCCCTTCGTGTCTAAGGTAAGTTCTTTCTGAGGGATACCCTAATAAGTTAAACCTGAGCAGGTAGAAAAGTTAGGAGCCTGTGTAGATCAACCAAGTACTTGTGCCTTTCTTGTGTCTTCAGCTCTCTTCAATACTTAGGACTGTGCTTTGAGCTAAACCCTTACTGGGTAATTCCTTAAGGATCCTAGAAACTATAACCATGTGAGGGACTCATGAGCCACTATTTCCAAGGGAAGTCTCTTAGCTTCACAAACTACATGCCTGAGATTTCCTCCATCCTTAGCAACACCAAATAGTCTGTTAGAAGGGGCTACTTCCCAACTTCCTCTTGGATACAGATGCCATCTTCATGGTCCCATAGATGCCTCAATGTCCACTCACTGAATCTTTTTTGATGACTTCAGTTTAAGGACCCGTCCTGTACTTTGAGACACCAAATTCAGTCTGCCTGACAGTTGGTCCTGTAACTGTGGAGATTCCAGCTCTTGTATCTTAGCAATAATTACTAAATTAGCCCAGTGATTCACACTCTACTTACCAGATCCACCTCTTTTTGGCACAGTAGAGCCATGTATCTCTTTCCTGAACCTCTGAAAATCATTAGCTGGGGAGACCATTAGACATGTGGCAATCCCCTCACTAACTTTACCAGCAGATATTCTTAGTCTCTGCATGTATTGGGCTTGTTGTACCTTCTTCTTAACTGTCCACCACCCATCTCCCAGTCACAACTGCTTCATTCTTAGCTTCTATGAAATCAGATTCACTTTCTTCTTATGGGTGAGAATGTGTCTGTGCTTGGCCAATTTATTGTCTTTTTCTTTTCTCTTAATCTCAATGAACACTCCAGGGAACTAATCAATGACCACTCCAGGGCACTAATCAATGACCACTCCAGGGCACTAATCAATGACCACTCCAGGGTACTAATCAATGACCACTCCATGGCACTAATCAATGACCACTCCATGGCACTAATCAATGACCACTCCATGGCACTAATCAATGAACACTCCAGGGCATCTAATAAGGACAGAATCTTGACCCAGTCTCAGAAACTAACTTCATCCAAGCTCATAGAATCCAACTAACTCCTAACCACTAATTCTCCCATAGATCTAATCAGGGGTAGGTGATCTCAGGATGAAAAGGAGCACAAGGAAATTTCATGTACTGAGTGTTACTGTCCATCCTCACCTCCTTCTTTCACAGGACATTTTGTTTTGTGCTGAAAGAAAATCAGATAGTGTGTGGTTTCAAAACTCCACTGATCCCACCAACATGAAAACAGAGAGTTGCCGGGGAAAGAACTCTCTGAAAGCTATTAGGGAACAAAAGAAATGTCAGGTGAGGTGACCACACAGGGGGTGGGCAGAAGCAGCTAAGTGACCAAGGGCCACTGTAGAAAGATTTCTCAGAGGGTGGAAATTAGAGGCATTCAGGACAAGGACCAAAGTCTCCACAGGACCTCCATAAGTCTCAGGATTTCTTTCTCCACACATACATGCTCGTTATGTCCTTCTACAGCATCCCTGAGGACTTCAAATTGGTGAATTAGTACTAAATGCATTTGGTGACACAACCCCTTGTAAGCGGGGAGGGGGAGCAGAGAGAACGAATAACCAACACTGAGCATTTCCAGTATAATTGGGAAATAGCTGTTATTCACATCTCTCACCTGAACCTCACATTTCCTAGATTAGTAATCTTGATTTTCTAGATGGTCCACCGAGGTCCCCCAACATGGCGGGCATTCTGGGATGAATGGCACACATATCCAGTTTAATAGTTGCCAGACTGTACATTTCTTTCTTTTCTAGCCCTTCCAGGATATTTCTACTTATTTTTCTGAAGAAGAGTGGGCAAAACTGACCACGTGGCAGAAAAGTGCCTACACGTATATGAAAAGAAACTACATCAGAATGACGAGCCTAGGTAACAGGGAGTTCTGGGTTTGGACAAGCATGGGTGTCTTCCCATTATTTTATATACCACAGTTTCTCATCAGCATGTAGCAGGCCCCTCTCCTGCACCATAGTTTTCTTCATGGAGAAATGTCAAGGTGCTTGCTGAGTGTGCTTTCTCCCATCTTGTTCAGGGTTGAGAGCATAGAACACAGGCACTCGGGCCTGCAAGCTCTTGTTCTTGCAGGCCTTAAGGTCTGTGCTGCATCCCAGATTCTAGCTGTATTTCCCCTCCTGTGCTGTCTGTTAAAGAACAAGCACTTAGCCTGTTGGAGTTACTCCCTATGGTGGGATGCCATGCTCAGTCTTAAAGCACGGGAGAGGGGCCTGGCCCTACCCCAACCTACTGTGCCAGACTTTGTTGACTCCTCATGGGAGCCCTTACTTATGAGGTCAGTGGCCTGGGGGGGGGTGGGGTAGAGGAGAGGTGAGGGAGTGGGAGGAAGTGAGAGAGTGGGAGGAGGAGTGAGAGGGAGAACTATGGTTGGAATGTAGAATGAAATCAAAAAATTTAAAAAAAAAATAAAAAAAAAAAAGAGCAAACATTCTGCTTCCTCTTAGGGGTTACAGTCAACCAACCAGTTTTCATGCGTTGCAAGGAACATGTCAAAGAATCCCCGGTGGAAGTTAAAGCTAAAGCTGATGGCCCGGATAATAAAGGTGAGTGGTCAGGGAGGAGCTGGTGAAGAATGGCCTTTTCAGTCAAGATGCCTGGTGAGGTCTTCAGGTTAGGGCTGTGTGGAAAAGAGCTCATTCATGGGATTATGTAGAAGACCCTTTCATACGAAAGTCTAAAACAATCAAGAGAATGCACATCATTTTGGATAACGAGTAAATGGCAAATGTGTAACATCTTCAATTGGAATGCACACTCTTCTGTATCACATCCTAAACATAGGGAGACAAATCCCCCTATACACATACATGCAGACACTGTCACAGAAATCACACACACACAGACACAGACACAGACACACACACACACACACACACACACACACACACACAGTGACTCTCCAGATTGCACAATCTCCCACAAGCACTTTGCTTGGTTGCAAACTCCAGGCCTGAAATTTATGCCAAGTTTTTTGAGTGCAAACGAGATTACACTAGATAGCCTCTCAAAACATGGAGCTGAATCACTTATCCTTCCTCATGCTTGAATATTCAAATCATTTCATTTGTTAAGTTTTTCATTATCCCACATCTGAAAGTACAGACAGGTCAAAGTTTCCTGAAATCAATTTCATATGTGGTAAAGGAAATGTACTGGGATAGGATGAGCAGTGATGAGACTGGAGAAACATTTCCTACACAGTCACAAGGAGGACTTCTAAAGTGATACTATAGATAATGCCTATGTCAGAGTACAGTCAAAGGGAGTCACACTCCACCAGCTCCTCCTTCATGAGTGGGCTCTCACCCTTCACTCCAGTATTTCCTAAACTGGCAGGATTCGGAAGTTTTGAAATATTTGCTAACAAACAAAACCTTCTGATTTGTTACTTTCCATAGATGAAGATTCTGAAGAAGATTTTTACACTAAACAGATAAAACGCATAAAGGTGAGTATCACCTATTTCTGTACAAACACACTATGTTTGTCCTTCAGTTCATGTCCACATTGTTGAGGATACTTTTCTTTTTGGTGGTGGATAAGTGTATAAAATATATTTGATACTTAAAGTGTAAAATTTAATGTGAAGTATCACATGTTTCAAATGATAGATTTCGGGTCTTGTTAGTTTGGTGTGTGTTTTTATTTATTTGCAAGGTCCTGTATTAAATATTATCTAGCAAATTAGAATACCCCTGATCAGGTGGCTGAAATACCACCTGTAGATTACTGTTTACCAAAATGCCTTATTCTAATTCTCTTTTGTAGCTGACAAGAGTAACAGTTGATCTTTATGATATACGTGCAAAACTTGGTGGCAGAGATTCTATTTCAGCTTCTTCTATTATGCCAGGTGGGATGCAATTTAATTCCTGTTGCTTAACATAATTTCTTCATTCTTTTTCAATGTGGTATTTATTTAACTCTTTGAGGATTTCATAAAATGTATTTTGATCATATTCACACATGTTCATCTAATGCACAAAAACATCTTTCCTAGGAGTGTTTCTCACTTCTCCACACTCCTCAAATTCATGTCTCGTTTTTATTTTTGAAAAAAATTAATCAGCCAAACCCAATATGTGCTGTGTACATATTGTGGGATGTCGACTCATCTACTAGAGTAAGGGCCATACCCTTAAAGGAAACTGACTCTTCTTCCCACAAAAGCCATCTATCATTACTCACAAAGGGGTGGGAGCTTATGAGTCCCTACTCACTCCATGCTAGAATGCTGACAGGCTTGATCCTGTGCAGTTCTTATGTGGGCAAAGACAGCTCTTGTGAGTTCACGAGTGTAACGAACCTGTCATGTCCATAAAACACTATAATGCTCTGCTCCTCCCCATCTTCTGCTTCTTACAATCTTTGTCCCCTTCTGAAACAGTTCTTGAGTGTGGGAGGGAGGTGCATGACATATATGTTCAGTGTTTAGCTGAGCAATCCATAGACACTTATTTTCTGCAGTCTAACCAGTTGGGAGTTTCTGTATAAGCCACTACTCACTGTAAAACAACACTTCTCTGATAATGTCTGAGAGCTATCAATGGGCAGAGAGATAGGAATTTAGAGGTCAGTTTCTACTACATTCCTTTAGCAAAATCACAGAAATGGCTTTTCACCATGGGGTCTGTGCAACCATAGGTTTTTGTCAGATTTACAGTACCAGGTCCACATTTCTTCAGTCACAACATTCTAATAACTAGAGGACTGATAATATGGTTCAGCACAACTGTGCTAAATGGTTGAGATGAACAGCACTTCACTAGCTCTCTAGTCCATAGCCCAGATCACTGAAATGAACACATGTCTTCTTTCATTTCTGAAATCCAGAGTCTGTTCATTCTTTCACCTTGGCACTTTCCAAGCAGAAATCACCAGCTGGCTGCTGCTCTGTAAATGGACCATGCACTCCTCTGCTAAAAATGACAGGCCTTTTGCTGTGGACTCCTCCCAGTGTGATTGGCCTCAAAACACATCTACACCTGGGAACTGGCTGCCCCACAGACCCAAGCCAGAGAAACCCTCAGAGACACCTGACTATGAAATGGGAGTTTCTACAGTTGGCAGGTTCCAGTCTAGTGTAGAGAGTTAAGGGAGCTGAGAGTTAGTGGACAGTGAGGACACAGTTAAGGACTGAATGAAAAGAAGGGGTTATAAGGGCACGTATTCAGTTTACTATATATCATTTAAACTTTCCATTTGGGTGTGCTTGGCATGCCTATAATTGCAAAGCTCTGTAGGGTCATTAGACCAAGACTTTTCTAGGGTACATGAAGAGATTTTGTCTCAAAACCAAAACCAAATGAAAGAAAGAAAGAAAGAAAGAAAGAAAGAAAGGGGGTATGGAGAGATGGCTCAGTGGTTAAGGATATCTGCTGCAGATCCAGAGGACTGAAGTTCAGTTCCCAGCTCATTAGTGACTCACTAGTATCTGTCACTGCAGCTTCAGATGATCTGATGAAGTACTCTTGCCTCTTCAGACATATCCACATATGTGTCACACATACAGACATACACATGTATACATAAATAGAAAAAATGTAAAATAAAGGGCAGTAAGTCATGTTTCCAAGCTCAGAAACATCGTTCATTTGGTTATACACAGACTCTCTCTCATGCATGAATCAGGAAGTTGAATGAAAGGCAGCTTATGATTAGGGACCAATGCCACATCTTGATATCAATAAAAATAGTGTAGGTGCCACAAAGTAACAACATATATAATTTAGAAAAAAAAAACAACCAAACAAGACAATACTTAACCTGTAAGGCAATGTAGAAATGGTACTGATAGCCTGAATAAGTGCTTTGGTGTTTAAGACTTGCTGAAGAGGGCAGCATGTGAAGAAAAGAACCCAAAATGAGTTCTGGTGCACTAGGCTCAGGAAGGGCCCAAAGACACCTGCACACCCAAGAGAAAGCACATGTTTTGTGGACAGACAGTAGGGTGGCAATGGATGAGAGTAAATCATGGAAGAAACAATAGTCTGGTTTCCCTGCATGTTCTGGGCCCTGAAATATCCCAGGCCTTTCTGGGTGAGGAGGTCACCCAGCACCAGTTCAGATGTTAGAATGAGTCTCCATAATCATAATTTTACCTGTCCTTCTGAAAGCCATGTGACACCTGACAAGTCTTCTACATACTCTGTGGGTCACTTTTTAAATCTATACAATGAAAGAGGATGACCCCAGGGTCCTCCTTCTAGTGAAGGATAAAATAGGACATCTATACCAGATGATGGAGGACTTGAACCAAACAGTACACTAGATGGCATAACCTGAAGTGGCCTTTGGTCTGTACTGTTGTATGGCTAACATCTCAGTCTTTGGGAGTCAGCAGATGTAAAAAGCAGACTATGGCGGAGGCCCATGGGCTCATGGGAGGAACAAGCCTTTTTTCTTTTCTATCTAGCTCTCATGCACTAATCCCTCTCTATTTCAGGAGTCAATACTGTTCGGGTGAACGCCTGGACCCATCGGTTGCGGGTAAGGAAGAATCGAATAATATATGAAGAGATAAGTGACCCCGAAGAAGAAGAAGAAGACGACGACGACAACGATAATGATGATGATGAGGACTGAATCTGTAAGTGGTCCTTTGACCCATCTCCCAAACCCAGAATACACACTTTTCTCATATGGTATTGGATCATTCATCCACTTCTAGTCCTTTTGTGTGCAACACTGAGGGTGAAGCAATACACTAAGCTTCCTTTACTGCAAAGCTGGGTAATTTGGAGACCTTCCCTATCCAGGATGCTGTGGGCTCCCAAATCCAAGTTCAGCTTTCAAAGTATAGGGCACAGTAAAGGCCACACCTTCCTTTGGCTTAGGAATTCAAAGACAAGGTGAGGAAGTCACTGTGCTCTGAGTAGAGGGTTTTCCTGTGGAGCAGAGGCTCTGAGGTTTGGTGGGAGGAAAACATGCAAGCTTTGAAGGATAGGAGGAAACAGACCAGTGAGGAGGCAGTGTGAATTCACTAGCATTTCTTTTCTTTCTTGTCTCAACCACAGAGAGTCAAAATAAGCCCAGGAAGATAAGAACGTGGCAGGAATTCAGGGTTAGAACCTCAACTCTGAAAGCCTAACTATAAGTTATATGTAGAGACATATGTATATACGTACTTATTAAATTTCATTGTAGTTCTAAGAGTTAATCATCAGTTTTCTATTATTTGTCAAGCGTTCTCTTAGCAATTTTGCAGGATGTGTCAAACACTCTGTCAGAACTTTGTCCCAAGCATTCACTATGTATTATCATCACTGTGTCAAGTCCCATTAGAATTGTTCTTCCTTAGACAGGCCATCTTTAAGCATAGATTTTGCTTTATGGCATCTGGTTAGCACCGGGGATACCCCATGCTAAGCACTTTGTTAGTATTATTCTTACTGTGTAAAAAACACTCTGGTAGAATACCAATGTTTCAAACAGGCTAGATGGCTCAGTGGTAAAGGACTGCCAAGCCAGACAACCTGAGTTCAATCCTAAAGACCCACATGGTAGACAGAGAGAACTGACTTCCCCACATTGTCTTTTGACATTCACAACTGAACTCTCTCTCTCTGTCTCTCTCTCTCACACACATACACACAGAGTACATAAATGCAAGTATAATAAAAGAAGTCTATCAATATTCCATCCAGTGAGGCATATTGCTATTTCATACTGCTATTTGTCTGCCCTGTCTCTCTCTTAGGAACCATGTACTATTAGTCATCCTCTGCACTGAAGCACACTGCCCTTCCCTTACTCAGGACTACTGAGCAGAGTTCATTTGCTTATTTTAACACATTTCTCTGTATTTGTACACAAATATACAAATCATCACTATGATCACTTGTCACTTGCTATGTTCCACTAGAACTGTGTGTAGTCACAGCCATCGTATTCATTATCTGGTCAGTGCTTACTTCCTCCCCTGTCTGCACACAGGTAAAAAATTCAAATTCTCTGATGTAGGAGAATCTGGATTTTCTTGACAACACATATGACCTTCATTTATGTAAGAGCCCGAGGCTCAGTGTAGATCAGTGCTTTAATCTTACCTTTTTCGAAGTAAGTGGTAATATCTGATTCTAGGGATTGAACCCGGGTCCTCCTACATGCAAGGCAAGTGCTCTACCACTGAGCTACACTGGACTAGTAGTTACTGCTCCATTGCTGAAAAAAAAATGCCTAAGAAAAATAAAGGAAGGAAGGTTACTTTGGGCTTATAGTTTCAGTGGGTTCAGTTGGTGGATGTTTTTCCCCAAACATGCAGCATGTGGGAGAGGCTGTTCCTCCCTCATGACTGACTAACATACCCAACAGGACCAGGGGTCACGGTGACACTCTAGACAAAAAAATAAGATACACTGACAGACATTTGGGACTTTATATGAACATGAAGAGATAATGAAGTAGTTATTTAACAGAAATCTAAGGAAGGTAGCCCAGTTGATGTGGGACTAGAGGCTGAAGCATGAAGCCAAGTGCAAAGTCAGGCCTAAATGGCATCAAAGGCAGAAGCATTCAGAGAATGACAGATTTAAGGCTCACATCTGAAGAACACAGATGGTATAAATGAGACCTAGGGCTCTGGACCATGTGGACAATGTGTGTGCTGCAGGCAGGTCTAGACTTCATTAATATTACATGGCAGATGCTATGAGGTGAGTTGTGTCATATACCCATTTCACCTACCATTCATATGTAGGAGCCATAATGCCCAATGTAGCTCTCCTAGGAGTGATTGAGTTAATGTGGGTTCCTATGGCTATGGCTCTGATGAGCGAAACTGGTGGCCTTGTGGAAAGGTAAGACACAAGAGATCTCTGCCTCAGCACTATGTGGGGATGCAGAGAGGAGTAAGAGGTGCTGATAAATGATCATGATCAACCAAACAAGCCAAATGTAGAAAGACACATGGTTCAAGTTTAATTTCAATGAGTAACAAAATTTAAATTTATATTCTTGTGTAATTTTGTATGTAGGGTACCATAAGATAGGAAGCTGAATCCTTAAAGTGGTAAAAAGAGTGATTCTATGCAGGGACATGAGAGTAACAGGGACAACTGGGGAGAAAGAAGGGAACTAGTAAAATGAGGACAGATGTTGGGACAAGGTGATTGGAAGGATATGTCACTATGAATCCCATTACTTTGTATGCTACCTTAAATCATTAAGTAAATAGAGTCCTGAGGATGAAATGCAAAGAGAAACAGTCTGTTTTTTGAAGAAGAATTAGTATTTTTAGGGAAAACTGGGACCCATGAAAATGGAAGTTGGAAACTGGCCATTCTTGTCACTCTCTAGCAGTGCCCTTACCCTGTTATCTGTCTCACTAACACCCACTGTATGGCCATCAGAACAGTCACATATGTCAAGTAGAAAGGTAAGACTACTCCCAAGACAAATGTTAATAGTGGCAGACTGATGCCTTCCAGCTGCAGTAGCATGCTCAGAGGGCTATGGGATGGACCTGGTGTTCTAGGTTTCTGAAAAGGTGGCCTAAACAATTTTGTTTTGCAGGCATGCAGAATGGAAGAATAATACCCGTGGCTCAAATGAATTAAGGATACTTAAGTATTCTCAGTGTATATGAATTAAGGATATTTAACTATTCTCAGTGTATATACCTATAGGGATTAAAATGTATATGATTTGCTTTGAACATATTAAACATTCCCAAAAAGTAACTATGAAAATACCAAATACACAATGAATACAACTTAAATGATCCCGGTGTCAATGGAGACATTTGGAAGTTCTGTACCCAAGTTACTCAGAATTCAATCTGTGCTTGCATCTGAATTTTCCTCCCCGAAGGATACTCAGCATACATACCCACCTGGAAATGACACTGAATCTGGGTGTGGGTACCAGTGCTTGGTAGGTGGGCTGGCATGGGTTGCTCTTGAAAGCACCAAATTCACCTAGTCTGTTTATTAAGTCACTTCTACCAGAGCTTTAGGCCCCCAATGCTGAGCCATCTTCTACAATTCATGGCTCCAAGTACTGGAGAAACTGTTGATACAAGGAAATGGAAAGCGCAGTTGCCATATGCTTTGTTGTTTTATTTGTACATTCTGGTAAACTGGGAATCTTCATTCAGCTTATCTCATTCTTAGTGTGTCTGGACTAGCCCTTTCCCACCAGAAACTCCTCCTAGAGTAGTAAGTCTGGTTCCAAGTCATCAATTTTACCCAGTTTGATGGGCATAGTTTTAGGAAAAAAAAAACCTGTAGTTGCACAATGCCAAGTTCATTGTCTCTTGGAATGAGAGAAACTGAACATAAGCAATACAATGGAATGTTTCAAGAAACAAAGGAAAAGATAGAGACATATTACATTAGTTGTTATTTGTGAGATTTAAATGTTTCCCACTTTGCCACCTCAGCCCACATAGTTCATATTGCATACATCTAAATATTGGTGGAATATGTCTGTGGATGTACCTACTTCCACAGCAGAATTTCTGAAGCTCTGGACTATGTCTGGTGTGGCCAGGATAATTCTTTTAGTGAGGAGCTATTTGTACATTTTAGCAGGTTTAGCAGCATCCCTGAGCACTGTCCATCTCAATTGTGGCAAGAAGGTTCAAATATCAAGAGGAGATGTGGTAGCAATAAACATTATGACTGGGATCAAAACTCTATTAATTCATTGGTGATGACAACAAATAATCAAGCAAAGCTCCTGTAGATGGGTTCTGTGTTCACTTTTGTATATTTTAGCACATTGAAATGTCAGATTTGGGTATAAAGTCAAACATTTGGGTATAAAGTCAAACTTTTTCTAAGTATTTATGCTTATGCCCATAAGTTAGTGTACTGTCAAGCTGCCCAGAGGAGTTTCTGGTAGCAGTTACTCCATGGGTCAGGGAACACCATGGAAGAAAGTAAAGAGAGAATATAAGAGGTAGAAGAAAGGGTGGATTTGTGTGGACTTTAGTCTCTAGGACATGACTTTAGTCTCTAGGATATGACATAGCCTTTGCATGCCTGAAATCTCAGCAGCTGCTATTACCTGCCAAAGACTAGGTCCTAATCATTCAAGTGTGGAAAGCTCATGAGCCTCTCTCCCATTCCTAAGAATTGGTAGAAAGTTACAGTTGCTAGGGAGAGGGACTTGTGAAATTTTACCCTTCCCTAAGGATGTATATGTAGTTAATGCTTTCAGAGGGTGAAAGAAATTAACTTTAGTGGTATAGACATTAGTAAGATTTCCATGACTTTAACTCCCTAGCACATGCCACTATACGAAACAAATGAAATACATGTGTTAATCAAGAGTCCTAAGATAGAAGAGAAAGTACCTGGGGATTGGATAATTTCTACCTAGGTACTGGGATTAGGAGTAGTGGTAGAGAGAAAAAAACAGGGTACTTGGAGGTGATGGTGATAAAAATACATGGGCAGGTAACAATCTGTTAGATAACCAATCTACACATGCTCCCCTACATAACCTTAATCGAAGTTACAGGTTGATAAAAACAAACAGACAAACAAACAAAATACCCAGGAAAATAGAAGGAAGATGAGTTGAGAAAAATACTGAGATCAGGGAGAGTGGGAGGGAGACACACTTGGTGATGGGACATA